GGGCGCGGTGGCTCACGCCTGTAATCCCAGCACTTTGGGAGGCCTAGGCGGGTGGATCACGAGGTCAAGAGATCGAGACCATCCTGGTCAACATGGTGAAACCCTGTCTCTACTAAAAATACAAAAAAATTAGCTAGGCATGGTGGCATGTGCCTGTAATCCCAGCTACTCAGGAGGCTGAGGCAGGAGAATTGCCTGAACCCAGAAGGCGGAGGTTGCAGTGAGCCGAGATCACGCCATTGCACTCCAGCCTGCGTAACAAGAGCGAAACTCTGTCTCAAAAATAATAATAATAAAATAAATAAATAAATTAGACATAATTGCTTCCAATTTCAAGCAATTCTCCTGCTTCAGCCTCCCGAGTAGCTGGGACTACAGGCACCCACCACCATGCTAAGCTAATTTTTGTATTTTTAGTAGAGACAGGGTTTCACCATGTTGGCCAGGCTGGTCTTGAACTCCTGACCTTGTGATCCGCCCACCTCGGCCTCCCAAAGTGTTGAAATTACAGGCATGAGCCACCGCGCCCAGCCCGTGTTGTTTTTTATAAGCCATGAAAAGTCATTCTCTAGGTCTGAGCCCATACACTGAGAAATTCAAGGAGAAAGATTAAAAAAAAAAAAGAGCACCTCCTCGTGGTTGATGTGCAGGGCAGAAGTCTGGTGTCAGGTGTCATAGCTAGGGGATGTCAGAGTATCCTGTGTCCTTTTCATTGTCACTGCCAGCAGCAGGGTTGTGGTATCTATAGAAGGTACTGCAGGTCCGAGTCCTATCTCTGCCACCTCCCAGCTGCATGGGCTTCAATAAATCACTTAACCAGACGCTCAGATTGCGCATGTGTAAAATGGGACAGAAGTATAACCTCAAGCTGAGTGGCTTGAGGTGGCTCATGCCTATATTCCCAGCGCTTTGGGGGGCCAAGGCAGAAGGATCACTTGAAGCCTGAAGTGCAAGACCAGCTTGGGCAATATAACACGACCCCATCTCTATACAAAATTTAAAATTAAAAATAAAAAGTTAGCCAGTGTGGTGGTGCACACCTGTAGTCCTAGATACTTGGGAGGCTGAGGCAGGAGGATGGCTTGAGCTCAGGAATCAAGGTTTCAGAGAGCTCTGATCACACCACTGCACTCCAGCCTGAGCAAGGGCAGCAGAGCAAGACCCTGTCTCAAACAAACAAACAAACAAATAAAAACAGTGCCACCTTAAAAGGTTACCATGAAGGTTAAAACATAATGTCTGTAATTCACCTGACCCAGTGTCCAAAAAATAGTTAAGTGCATAATAATTGATAATTCAAACAAGGACAAGCTCAGTCAAAATGCTTACAACATAGATTTAAGGAATCCTTGGTAAAAAAGAAATCTCCCTATGGGGATAAAATCGCTGGCATTTCCACTGAACAGATTTTCATTCTCTCAAGAAATTAAACCAAATGGATCATGGCTTCTCTCAAGCTGAGAATGACTTAGGTTGCTAGACTCTCCACATCTATAGCAAATGTGTGATTTCTGCAAATTTCTTGCTTAAAACCCCTTTATTTAGAAATCCCACTTGCTTGCTCTTTGTGATGTGTCTAGGTTGGGGATAAATATGTCCCTTCACATTTGTCCTTTATGTAATAATATAAAAGGACAATATATTATAATAATATACAAGTTGTAATTGGATTTCACCATGGGTTCATCATTTGTGCCCCTCGGAAAGTGATTTTTTTTTTTTTTACAAAAAGTCAAAATAATCCTTCCATTTGCCAGAATTGATCCCAGGTATTCCTTATGGAGGTTTGCCATGGACTTCAGGTGTGACCCCTCGACATCTGTCCCCTCATTTCCAGTGAACACTGCTAGTTCTGGCTCAGGACTCTTCACAATGGAAGAACCTCAGCTTCAGAGAGGCTGTAATCAGGAAAATAATACTGGATATGCAGGCGGACAGGAGGCAGCAGTAAACAACAAGGAATCTAGGCTACGGATCTGGAATTCCTGGGAAGTCAGTCTGTACTCTACAAGGGAAAACAAGCGCTAGCCATTGTGAGACTAACCCCAACAAGATAAAGGCCAGAGAAATAAGCATTCTCAGGAGAAAGGGCTCCCAGGGAAGGTGGAGCAGCAGGGGCTGCAGAAGATCCCTCTGCAGGGTGCACCAAGCAAAGACATCTCAGTGCATGTTTCTGGGTATGTGTGTGTGCATGCATGTGTAGTTAGAATGAGAGTAACAGCTGAATGCATCTACATTGTGAATCTACTAACACTTACGACTTTGTAGCTTGCCTTTATATTGATACTTTTTTTAATTTTGGAAAAATGTCCTCACACATAACACACATTAATGAACCAGCAGCTTGATATATCAAGATAGAAATCAGTAAGCATATACTACTGCATGTTGGCTTTGTCCAAGACACCGGGCACACAGCCTAGACATTGAAGATAGAGGTAACAGCAGACCCAGTACTTGAATATTTTCATGTTGGCTTGGTTGAAATACTTGATTTGATTTTCAAAAAGACCACATCATTTTCACATAATGCAAGCTGTGTAAGAGTTAGAGGCTTACTTCACATATTATTTCTGCTATTGAAATGTCAAAAAAACCAACTTATTGTTTTAGTAAGAGAAACAAAAAGAGCTGCGCATGCTTATGGAAAAACCTTAACTATTACAGCTAATTATTATGATTAATTGTTTTTATTAAGTAAGTAACGTCTCAGTGATCTCACTGTGATCCAATAATTTGGCTGAGAAATTAATCCTTACCAGATAGATTCAATCTCCACTTTAAAATGTATAGAGAGCCTTCTAGAAGTCTCCTTTTTAGGAGCTAGCCATTGGGCATTCATGGACCTACAGAATGGCAACAATAGACACTGGGAACTACTGGGGGGAGGAAACATTTAAAAACTATTTGGTATTATGCTTACTGCCTAGGTGATGAGATCAAGTGTACCCCAAACCTCAGCATCATGAAATATACACACATAACAAACCGGTACATGTACTTCCTGAATCTAAAATAAGAGTTGAAGTTATTTTTTTAATATCCAGTAAATAAATAAATAAAAATCTTCCTTTTTGTGAAAGGCATGTATTATTAAATCAAATAAGAATTCAATTTTATTTTAAAAATCTAGAATACTTGTGATGTTTTAAAAAGTTTTCTTTTGAGTAAAATAAAACACAGAATCCAAATATACCAAATTGGAAAGGAGTTTTAGTGGCCATCTATAAGAAAACAGAGGTCCCTTTTGAAGAACTGAAGCCTGTATTTCCCAAGAGGTAGGAACTGTATCTTTATAATGATTTTAGTGTATTTTATTTCAATAAATCCATTCTAGTCAAAATACATATATGTCTATAGTACACACAGTGTATACCTTATTAATAAAATTCAGTATAAACATCTTCACAAAGAAACTGTTATTTACACCCAGAAATTTTATTTCCTATCATCAAATACAGAGCAAACTGAATTTAGAAATCTGAACCCAACAAAGAATTTCCAAGAATCTACAATCCATATTCTAGACCCAATTATTAAGGTTCAAGTGATAGTTGATTATATAAAGTTAAGAGAAAAGCAGATTGTAAAATCTTATATTGAATCAATTACATTCAAAAATGTATATAAGAGACTCATATATACATACATCTTCTTTATGTTTTCTGCATCTTCCAAATTTCCTACGATAAATACATAGAGAGCTATATTTCTAAAAACTAACTATAGAACTATTTTGCAGTGAGACATGTAGAGACTTGGGTCATCATCTCAAAGAAAACGTGTAAAAGAAAAATGCTTATTCCTTCTTATCCAATCAAAACGCTCAAAATTTAAATTCCTAAGGGAATTCCATCACCCTGGAAGTGTGCTACTTTGTTTTCAGTATCTGCAACTCTCACTGAAAGCAGGCTTCTTTCAGGTTAATGCATTTCCCATAAGAACATTATTGTTTTCATGTCCAATGTATAAGCCATATCATTTTCAAAGGTAAATAGTATATCAAACAAGAAAGTATAAGAATTTTATGTCTTAAAAACTAAAGACACTGGATACAATTCCTTGAAGCATGCTTTGCATGCTTTTCACAACAAAGTTTAAAATATAATTTGTTAGTTTATTCTATAATGTAAAACTTATCCTTTTACATCATAGCAGTCAACTGAAATGGTTTGCTAGCTTCTTAAACTTGGGGTTTTAATCATTTCTTAATTTAAACTGTGTTTCTACTTTCTCCTTATTGATAACAGCAATAAAACCTGAAGTGTTTACACAATCCATTCAACTAGTCAACACATTAATTGAGCACCCACTATGGGTCATATCTGTTGAAGGAATAAACATAGTAAGTGCTGAGTGTAGAGCAGTAGAGCAGTGGGCAATCAGACAAGGCAGGACTGCTGAAACAACCATAATACTCTACTCAAAAATAGTACTTTGCAGAATTGAAGAATCAGAGGGAAAAAAACCACGCAACATCCTAATGGCAAGGTTTTAAAATCCTTGAAAATGCAAATTCCAGTATCAATCTGGAAAATGCATTCATTCTCCACCTTTCACCAGCGCATTTCACAGCTGCTTCTGAAACTGTATTCCACTATAAGGTATGCTTGATCATGATTGGATTTTACATTGGATTGGTTTTTCCAAAGGAACCAAATGGTTTACACTGGATTTTCCAAAGGAAACAAATAGAAAAGATGAAGAAGGACTTAAAAATGCTTAAGGTTTAGGAGGAAGTATTTAGTGTATTCATTCAGCAATCATTCATTATCTTCCTACTGCGTACAAGATGCCAGGCAGTCCTGGGGATACAGGCAACAGACTAACCTGGAGGAGAAAAATTCCTTATGACAAGCAAACTGTACTCCACCCAGCTTTCTTTTTCATATCACAAATATTTTATGAAAATGATGATTCAATTATTTCTATATCAATGAATTTTCATTATACATAAATCATTCACTTGTTGAGCTGGCCAAAAACTTGCGGGGAGGCCCCCAGTTTTGAGTGGAGAAAGTGAACTCTTCAACTGTGATACCCATCTTGCAGCCTATAAAAGGTTAGCTTTCTGGCTTACTGGCACAGCTTCCTCCAGTTGTGGCCACCTTCCCCAGGCTATGGATCTCTCCAATAACACCATGTCTCTCTCAGTGCGCACCTCCGGACTACCCCGGCGGCTCTCCTCGCAGAGTGTGATAGCAGGCAGACCCAGGGGCATGTCTGCTTCCAGTGTTGGCAGTGGCTATGGGGGAAGCGCCTTTGGCTTTGGAGCCAGCTCTGGAGGCTTTTCTGCTGCTTCCATGTTTGGTTCTAGTTCTGGCTTTGGGGGTGGCTCTGGGAGTTCCATGGCAGGAGGACTGGGTGCTGGTTATGGGAGAGCCCTGGGTGGAGGTGGCTTTGGAGGACTGGGGATGGGATTTGTGGGGAGCCCAGGAGGTGGCTCTCTAGGTATTCTCTCTGGCAATGACGGAGGCCTTCTTTCTGGATCAGAAAAAGAAACTATGCAAAATCTTAACGATAGATTAGCTTCCTACCTGGATAAGGTTCGAGCTCTAGAAGAGGCTAATACTGAGCTAGAGAACAAAATTCGAGAATGGTATGAGACACGAGGAACTGGGGCTGGAGATGCTTCACAGAACGATTACAACAAGTATTATCCACTGATTGAAGACCTCAGGAATAAGGTAAGATGTTGTCGTTTGGAGGGGCTTAGGGAATTTCGTTTTCCTTTTTACCGTTATTATATTTTAGTGATAATCACCCACAACTTTGATGTTTTCCAATATGGCTGTACTTGCAGCAATTTCCTCACCCCAGGTTGTTTCATTCCGTTTTATCATTTACCAAGAAGTGATTGTATTTCCTTTATCTTTCTGTAGGAAATCTATATTTCTTTACTCCTTAATATTACTTTATACAGACATTGTCTTAGGGAAATGAAACTCTCTTAAACTCTAAATAAAAAGCATTTAGCATCACCATTTTTACCATTGTGTCAAAAACATATTTGTATAATACTAGTTTTTTAGGGCTTCATCTTGTGTGTGTCCCTCTCTTCTGCCAGATCATTTCAGCCAGCATTGGAAACGCCCAGCTCCTCTTGCAGATTGACAACGCGAGACTGGCCGCCGAGGACTTCAGGATGAAGTGAGTGGAATAAACAGAGGATTGCGGGCATGTCCCACCATGTCTTCTGCCATCCTGTCCTACCTTCACTGATATAAAATATTTTAAATCTTCTGAAGTTCACATGTTCCATATATTTAGTGTTTTGGTAAATTCACATAGGGCGTTCTAGAAAGTAATCAGAATCTAATGCAATTCACATTAAATGTCCTTAAATTATAAGTTGCTTAAACCCAGGGCTATGGATCACTGTATTTGTAGTGCGCTATTGACTCATGATGTGACTGACACCATAATTCTGCCAGTGTCTTAAACCTCAATTTTCCATGTATCAAAATGAGTTCATCAGTTTTTGCCAAGGTGTTCAATGAAACCATCGTTTTCCTAATGACACATGCAATGGAAAGATTACCCATGTTCCTTCCTCCTTTTCCATGCTCAACTCTCCCAGACGTAAGGAATAAATACTAATTTCCTTTTTGCTTCACAAAATTTCCACACACACAGGAAGTTGCAGTGGCCATGGTCCTGAACCTGTAAAATCTTGGTGAAAGCCACTAAAGAAGTATCAATGTTTTCAGTTAAATCATGAACGTTAAGCAAAAAGAGCAACTTATTTTCAATGCTTTTAGAAATTCCACTTAGAGAGGGGCTGCTGCTATTTATAGCCACAGCAGCCAGCTAGAGGGAAAATTATTCCCTGGGATGCTGTGCTATTGGGATTCATAGCTGGTAGAAAAGTACTGCCTCACTGATTTTTCACTTTTCTTCTCCTCTCTAACTGAACTGTAAACAATGGTGGGGGAAAAAAAGAAAGGAAAAACACAAACGCAAAAACCGCATCATACACTACAGTACTGCCATTATTAAGTAGTTGCACAGATTTAAGCAAGAAATTGACCTGACATCAGTGGCTTTGTTCAAATGGTTGTGTTGATTCCCTAGACTGCTGTGCACTTGGTTTTCAGGTATGAGAATGAACTGGCCCTGCGCCAGGGGGTAGAAGCCGATATCAATGGCCTGCGCCGGGTGCTGGATGAGCTGACCGTGACCAGGACCGATCTGGAGATGCAGATCGAGAGTCTGAACGAGGAGCTGGCCTATATGAAGAAGAACCATGAGGAGGTGAGTCAGACAGGGCAGCCTCACTCAGCTGCTTTTTTTTTCTCCCAGACTCAAAAATTACAATTTCAAATTTAGAAATCTGGAGTCGGGACAAGTATGGAGAACACATTGTCTCCCTATTAAAATGGCCATTTGTTTTGGATTTCTGTGTGATGTGTGTGTGGTGGTGATGGTGGTTCCTGTTAAGGCTTAACAAATTAGAGGCACTTCCTGATTTTGTCAATTTCATTATAAGGCAATGACAATAGGAAAGCTAACTGTCCTAATTCAGTGATTTAAAAAAAAACTGAGTAGGCCGGGCGCGGTGGTTCATGCCTGTAATCCCAGCACTTTGGGAGGCTGAGGCGGGCAGATCACAAGGTCAGCAGATCGAGACCAGCCTGGCCAACATGGTGAAACCCCATCTCTACTAAAAATACAAAAATTAGTTGGGCATGATGGCAGGCGCCTGTAATCCCAGCTACTTGGGAGGCTGAGGCAGGAGAATCGCTTGAACCCAGGAGGTGGACGCTGCAGTGAGCCAAGATCATGCCACTGCACTTCAGCCTGGTGACAGAGCAAGACTCCGTCTCAAAAAAAAAAGTCCTTAAAAAAAAACTGAATACTTTAAAAGTTAAAGAACAAAAGTCGACCAATAATATATAATGTTATATATGTTGGAGAAATTGGTTATACTTAGCATAATGCACGCACAGAGAACTCTGATGTCTCAAAGTGCATATTGGAGGCTGGGTAAGGAAGGGATGCCGGCAATAGGAAGTTTCTACTAGGTTTTCAATGACTGTGGCACAAACAGTGTGCAAGCCTGGGTACTGTCTGCAGCCCTCTGTTTGGCAGCTGTAGGTGAAAACCCCAGTAAGTACATATCAGGCCTCCCTTCATGTAAAGGCTACGGCCCCTCAAGAAGCAGGGCCAACTTTTCCATTAGACACAGCAGGCACAGCTTCCAGGGTGTGTGGTAATTTCAGAGATACATGAATATGTCTTAGGTTCTTGTAAAATCAGAAGAAAAATAGGAATTTTCAGGTTAAAAAAGTTTTAATATATTGTATTAATATATTTGCCTTTATACCAACAGTCATAAAATAGAATTTTTAGGAGTGTGTATGCGTGTGTGTGTGTGTGTGTGTGTGTGTGTGTGTGTAGTAGGAAGAGGTGCAGGAGGACAAATGTATCCAGGGCCCACGAAGTCACAATGGGCCCCTGTGCCCCTCTCTCTCACGTGCTGCCTCCAGGAGCTCCAAAGCTTCCGGGTGGGCGGCCCAGGCGAGGTCAGCGTAGAAATGGACGCTGCCCCCGGAGTGGACCTCACCAGGCTCCTCAACGATATGCGGGCACAGTATGAAACCATCGCTGAGCAGAATCGGAAGGACGCTGAAGCCTGGTTCATTGAAAAGGTAACACAAACAACAAAGCCTTTGATACATTCACTGGAAGGCCTGCGAGCGAGCGTGGCTCTGGAGTCCCTGGTTCTCTTTACTGTTGCAGAGCGGTGAGCTCAGGAAGGAGATCAGCACCAACACCGAGCAGCTTCAGTCCAGCAAGAGTGAGGTCACCGACCTGCGTCGCGCCGTTCAGAATCTGGAGATCGAGCTGCAGTCCCAGCTCGCCACGGTAGGCTCGTGGGCAAAAAAGATGCAGCATCCTTTGGACTTCCAAAGAAAATGCTGCGTCCAAATTACATTAGCTCCTTGGCTGCCGTTCTCTTTTCCGTCCCTTCCATCGTTATGTCTTTACCGTTTCCCTCCCACGTGCAGAAGAAATCCCTGGAGGACTCGTTGGCTGAAGCCGAGGGCGATTACTGCGCGCAGCTGTCCCAGGTGCAGCAACTCATCAGCAACTTGGAGGCTCAGCTGCTGCAGGTTCGCGCGGATGCAGAGCGCCAGAACATGGACCACCAGCGGCTGCTTAATGTCAAGGCCCGCCTGGAGCTGGAGATTGAGACCTACCGCCGCCTGCTGGACGGGGAGGCCCAAGGGTGAGCAGATAACGGAGGCTACAAACACCTTCAGGGGCTGACCAATCATGGACAGCAGAAATAGAAGGAATGGGGTTTTAGTTGACAGAAAAACAAACAAAAGTCTAGTAAAGATATATCTGGGTTTTACTTTGCAAAGTGTTTTCACCCATTATCTTACTTGATAATTCATAAAATGCTACAGTGAACAAAGGCACCAGGTCAGAAGCAGATTGTAAATGAGTACTCTTTGTACTACAAAAGTCACTCACTCAATTTCTAATATCAAAGACCTGATGATAAGGAGGACGCATAGTAGCCATCTGAACCTCCTACTCTAACAAGCTTTCCAAAAGTGACCAGAGTCTGGACTAGCTGGAAGAACCCAGGCCTACAAATTGAGAGTTCAAGACCAGTCTGGACAACATAGAGAGACCCCCATCTCTACAAAACATTAAATAATAATAATGTAGATAAAAACTGGGATGAAGATGTCAGGGTTTGAGGATTAAGTTAAAAGAATTATGTTAACTAATTTAATTTCTGAGACCAGATCTTCTGTTAAAAGCCAGGTTGCTTCACTTTTTGATGTTTTCTCCTTTGTTTTCTTACAGTGATGGTTTGGACGAAAGTTTATTTGTGACAGACTCCAAATCACAAGCACAGTCAATTGATTCCTCTAAAGGTAAGCAGAAACCCTAGAATCACCTAGAATAAGTCAGAAACACATTTATTAGTGCAAAACCTGTAAGATCTCAACGAACACGGCATTATTATTAATTTTAAGTATATTTATATTCTGAGCCAAGGAAAAATATTTATGCATTCCTGCACAAAATGAGTAGTCTGTACTGTATTAAAACTTTTGGGGGCCTGGACATGTGGCTCATGCCTGAAAACTCATAGCTCTGGGAAACTGAAGTGGGAGGATCATTTAAGGCCAGGAGTTCATGACCCACTTGGGCAATAGGGAGACAAAAAATTAAGAAAAAAATAGCTGGATGTGTTGGTGTATGCCTATGATCTCAACTACTCTGGAGGCTGAGGCAGGAGGACCACTTGAGACCAGGAGTTAGAGGTTATAGTGAGCTATGATCATGCCACTGCACTCTCACCTGGGCAACAGAGCAAGACCCTGTCTCTAAGAAAATTTAAATTAAAATTACAAAATAAAAAGAATTGGCAATCCCAGGAGGGAAAAAACCTGCTCTGCTACAAGGTATTATGATCACCATAACCACCTTTGAAATTTTTTTAATGTTTTCATGGCTGTACAAGGCAACACTGAATAATTTCATTTTCGTTGGATAAAACACATTTTTAAGAAGTAAAAGTTATTTTTGAAAGTTTAATTAGATGGACTGTATCAACTGATGCTTAATTTAGAAGCCTACATTAAACAACCAATGTTGGATTAATCTCTGAAACACTAACTTTTGCCCCCTTGTTCCATTTTATCTTTAGACCCAACCAAAACCAGAAAAATCAAGACAGTTGTGCAGGAGATGGTGAATGGTGAGGTGGTCTCATCTCAAGTTCAGGAAATTGAAGAACTAATGTAAAATGTCACAAGATCTGCCCCATGATTGGCTCCTTAGGAACAAGAAATTTACAAATAGAAATTACTCCTTTCAGAGTAAGATGCTGTATTAGTTCAATCCCTGTTTGTGTCTGTTTCATTTTCTTTGGACTCCCTATTCACACTGAGTGCTTTTTGCCCTTCTGAACCAATATCCAGTCACAAGTCATTTTGATGATGTTGATCTCTATAACAAATCAAAATTACCTTATATCTTTCTGGACCTGGAGTAGTCTTTTAATGAACTTTCTTCTGGTAACCTGGAATATTTTTTAATCACAGAGCTTTAATCAAGTGGTGGTGTTTGAATAGAGTTAACTGTAATAAAAGATGAATGGTAATAATGTGAAATGTATGCCTTCTTGATTCCAACAGTAATGTCAAGGGCATAGAAAGAAGTTTTCAAAATACTAATAATAAAATAGAGGCTGGGAATGATGACTCGCACCTATAATCCCAGCACTTTGGGAGGCTGAGAGGCAGGATGATTGCTTGAGGCCAGGAGTTCAGGACCAGCCTAGACAACATAGAGAGACCCCCCATCTCTACAAAACACTAATAATAATAATAATGTAGCTGAAAACTGGGATGAGGATGTCAGGGTTTGAGGATTAAGTTAAAAGAAGATTCTTTTAGAACTTCCTTCCTTTTTATGTAAGCCCATCAAGGCTGTAGTGAAATTAAATTGTCCACTACAGCAGTTGAGAGTTGTCCTATTCAAGTTCTAGCACCATCTTCCATGCAGTCAAGAAATGCTGGGCCCTGACAGTGTGCCAGTTTAGAGGCTCAGTGATGAACAAGATATGGTTCTTGCCTTGAGGAGCCATGGTTGAGGACAGAGATAAACATCTACCAGGAATGGTTTACAGTGAGATTGGTTGAATAGAAGTTCAAAGGACACATGGAGGGAGAAATGAACAATTTTCCAGGAAAGGTAATAAAATACTACATACAGGAATCATCCAGGCAGATGAGGGAGAAAGGGAACAGGGCAAATACACATGAAAAGACAGAGGGTGTGAGCAAACATTGCTCTGCTCTCCCTTCCCCTATTTGGCAGCAGTGAGGCCCAGGGTTGAGTCATTACTGGGGCAGGTCAGATCCACAAGTCAATAACAGAAATCATGTTCTGCATTAGGGAAAAAGGCAGCCAAAGTCTAAGACTGAACAGACGGTGGCTCAACATGGGTTGCCCAATTCAAAATTATAAAAGGAAAACGGGCAACATTTAATGATTAAAAGCCTGGGCTCTAACATTACACTGGGATCAATTTCTGGCTCTGCTATTTAATAACAAGTAACATGTTCCTCAGTTTTTTAAGGTGGAAATGTCATGATGGCTGCACCTGCTTCATGGCGTGAGTTTTGTGAAGATGAAAGGAGGTCCTGTACCTAAAGCACTAGGAACCCGCAAAGTATTGGCATCTAGAAAGTACTCAACATTTGTGTCTTATTGTTATGTACTATATGGAACCAAAATGGGATGAAGAAGCAAGGAGATGTGGTGAGCAAGGCGTGTCAAAGGAGCAGAAGGGAGAAGGAGGGTTGTGCTAGACTGGAGGAATTCCCGAGCTGAGTCTAAAAGCCAATAGCTAGTCAGCCAACTTAAGCTGATTTGCTTCAGTATGCAGCTTTTCCTTTTAATATTATTTACATGGCCAGATGCAATGGCTCACGTCTGTAATCTCAACACTTTGGGAGGCTGACATGAGCAGATTGCTTGGGCCCAGGAGTTCAAGACCAGCCCGGACAACATGGCAAAATCCTGTTTCTACAAAAAAAAAAATTGCCAGGTGTGAGGGTGCACACCCATAGCTACTTGAGAGGCTGAGGTGGGAGGATTACCTGAGCCTGGGGTAGTCAAGAGTGCAGTGAGCTGTTATCGTGCCACTGCACTCTAGCCAGGGCAACAGAGTAAGACTCTGTCTCAAGAAAAAGAAAAGAAAAAAAGATTCTTTAATGGTTTCAGATCCTCCACTTACCTCACTTTATTATACACTCAGCTCTCTTAGTTTAGCCCTCACCTTCCGGCACATATTCTATGGTGACTTTACCTTTCAGACTCAAAAGGATTATCCAGGTCTCTGAACAAGCTCCACCATCCCCAAGTAATAAACAAAGGATTCTACTTCCCCAGTGCTCAAAAATGCCTGCAAATAGTTACTATTTTAAATAACATCTGTTTTCCTACATTAGAATGGTGTGAGACCCAAAGGAGAAAGGATTTTGCACAAGTATAAATGCAAGGGTCATTTATTAGCTGGTATCATAGTTTTTCAGCATTCCCTTCTCTTGGAAATTATTTTCCACAAAGCTGCCAGAGATATCACTCCATAAGCAGCTTTTCCTCAGACTTCTCTCTGTGACTGAGTGTTGGCTCAATCCTCTTGTCTTCTCTCTACACTCCCTCCCCAGGTAACTCATCAAATCTCTCCACAGCCTCTCCTCCCCAATTCTCATCCCATAGTTTTAATACCATCTACACATTGGTGACTTCTGCGGCAGCCTCCAGGATGGCTCCAGTGATCCCTGCCTCCTGGTCTTCATTCCCTTGTGTAATCCCCTCCCACAATGAACAAGGAGCAGATTTATTAAAGAAGTGATGGTATACGACCTCCAAAGATAGGTCACAAAAGCCTTTCAGTTCTTCCATGGTTTCCCAGATGGTACTCTCTGGGGGATGTTAGCTACTGGCAAGGTTATATCACGGGGTGTTGCGCTAACTGCGCGCACCAAGCTTGGTTTTTCCTTTAACAGGCAGATTCGTGGGAAGAAAACACCAGACCGAGAACAATAATAAAATGATAGAAAATTTTAATGAGAGAAGTAGGAGGATGGAAAGACATACACACACGGAAACCACTCTACCTCAGCACCGGCAAGACAGCAGCACGGGCTATTCGCAAGTCACATCTGGAAGTCGCTCTGATTCAATATCTCTGTGTTCTTTTTGCTCCTTTATTGTATCCGCTTACATAACTAGTTTACATACTCATCTTTGGGCTAGTCGAGTTCAGTCGGTAAACAAGGAAGATCTGCTTCATAAGTGTCCTGTCCTTGACTGTTTCTTGGGCGCCGGGAGTTGGCCAGACTCCCAGCCCCCAAGATACGTTCTGCTCCGCCAAGAGCTCTTAGCGTTTCAGAACAGTTCATGGACAGTTCATGGGCTCACAGATCCTTTCCTGCCTACTTCTCTACCTCAAACGCCCTTTACAAGCAAGCTTTTTTACAAAACAGGACTTCTATATCATAATCTTACACGGGGGCAAAAACTATCTGGAAAAAAAAGTCGTGATTGCACAAAATTTCCCACTGAAGCTCCAATGGCTACGATTTCATGGCACAGCCAGCAAGACCCAAACAACAGTCCTTTTCTGATACTATCTCAGCCAAAATATCCTATAAGTCTTCACTCTGCAAAGGAAGCATTACATTTCTAATTAACGTTAACGTCAGTTCACGTTGCCCTATTCTCACCGACAAGAAATGCAACTAGCACAGCATCTATCAGTCCCTACAGGCTGCTAGAACAAAATACCTCAGACTTGGTGGCTTAAAAATAAGAGAAACTGGCTGGGCACAGTGGCTGACATCTGTAATCCCAGCACTTTGGGAGGCCAAGGCTGGCAGATCACAGCTACTCAGGGAGTAACCTGTAGTCTTAGCTACTCAGGAGGCTGAGGCAGAAGAATCACTTGAACCCGGGAGGCAGAGGTTACAGTGAGGCGAGATTGCGCCACTGCACTCCAGCCCGCAACAGAGCGAGACTCTGTCTCAAAAAATAAAATAATAAATAAATAAGTAAACAAACTAACCCTGCGTGTTCAAGTCACTTGCAATGTGTTGATACTGGAAGATTTATCTTTTAAAACAAGAAAGAAGAAAAAAAGCAAACCTTTTAAAATGAGCAACTTAATAAACTAAAATTGTCTTATTTAACTAATAATCAGGAGTTCAAGACCAGCCTCGCCAGCATGGTGAAACCCTGTCTCTACAAAAAATACAAAAATTAACCTGGCATGCTGGCGCACGCCTGTAGTCCTAGCTTCTAGGGAGGCTGAGGCAGGAGAATCGCTTGAACCAGGGAGGCAGAGGTTGCAATAAGCCAAGATCTTACCACTGCACTCCAGCCTAGGTGACAGAGAGACTCTGTCTCCAAAAAGAAAAAAAAAAAAAAGAGAGAGAAACATTTCTCATAGTTCCAGAGGCAGCTTCAGTACCTGATAAGGGCCCACTTTCTGGATCATACACAGCTTCTTCTCGATATATCCTCACATTGGCAGAAGGGGCAAAGCAACTCTCTGGGGCCTCATTTATAAGGACAATAATCCCCTTCTCCAGGGCTCCACCCTCATGACCTAATCCACTCTCCTAATATCCGGACCTCCTAATACCCGGACATCGGTGATTAGGTCTCAACATACTAATTTAGGGGGGCATACTAATACAACATACTAATTTAGGGGGGACAAAAACTTTCAGACCATACCAACATCCTTATGATGAGAGTCTAGCCCTCATTCACTAGGCCACAAGCCCCAATTCAACACAGATGTGAGACGTCCCTTCGGACTCAGCAAATAATGAATTGCAGAAGTGGAAGGTCTGTCTTTAAAGAAAAGAACTGCTAAGAAAAAAACCCGAATAAAGAATCCTATAGCAAAAGACAAGAATATTGTTTACGATTACCGTAAAATCTAAAATTTCACAAATTTAAATTTTTACTTTTATATGCATATGTTGTGTGTATAAGCTAATGGAAGGTCTGGAAAATATTGTGTATATACTGAACTGTTATAGGAGTTATCTCTTGGGGATTAGCAAGGGGTTTGAAAAATAACTTCATTAAAATGTTTAATAACCAGCATATATGACTCCGATAATCAGAAAAAATAAATAACTTTTATACTCCCAAACAAATGGCTTTGCAAATAGGTCACAGCAGGAAGGAACCACCTAGAAAAACAGCCATAGGTTGCCAAAGCTTTATTTCTTTAGGCTTTGTAAGAGTGCCATCTTCTGGAGTCTCAGGAAATGAACCTTAAAATAACCCTGGCCGGGCACAGTGGTTCACACCTGTAATCCCAGCACTTTTGGAAGCCAAAGCCGGTGGACCACTTGAGGTCAGGAGTTTGAGACCAGCCTGGCCAACATGGTTAAACCCTGTCTCTACTAAAAATACAAAAATGAGCCCAGCGTGGTGGCACGCACCTGTAGTCCCAGCTACTTGGGAGGCTGAGGCAGGAGAATCACTCGAACCCAGGAGGTGGAGGCTGCTGTGAGCTGAGACTGCACAATTGCACTCCAGCCTGGGCAACATAGCAAGACACTGTCTCAAAAAAAAATCAAAA